TCCCAACAGCTGGAAACATTTGTTTTTAAGGACTCAAGTGATTATTAGCTTGGGTTCACAGGATAATTTCTCATACTAAAAAAAAATGATAATAATTTCATATCCTAAAGCTTCATAAGCTTTGTTGCATCTGTAAAGTCCCTATGCCAGTAATGCCCTTCCCCTCCTAACTGTACCTAATAATTCCTCCTGGTTCTTTAGAGTTCAGCCCACCTCTGAGAAGTGTTTCCTGACTTTCACTTCAAATCCCAATCATCTGTCTTTTCAGCACCCAGAATGGTTTTCATTCATAAAAGTTTGTCTATCTCTTCTCTTAGGCTACATCCTCATGGAGAGCAGAAGTCTACCATTTTATGATGGTAGCAGATCCTAGCAAAGTGCCCGGCACCTGTTTGTCAAATATGGGAAGATCCAAAAAAGTTAGATGCTCTTAAAATGAAGTCTCAAAATACCTTCAGATTCATCATCTTGTTTAATCCCTATAGCCTATTTATGAGGCCAAGAGACAGATATTTTGAGGTACATATATTTTTTTACTGTACTGTAGGGAAATTGAGATTCAGTAGGTTATCCATGGTTACAGAGAAAAAAGAACTGCAGGGTCAAGACATGAACCAAGATCATTTCTTTCCAGTTAAAGTGCTTTATTTGTGACGTTTATACCCAAGTATCTAAAAATTGGTAGTAAAATTCAAGTAGATATACAGATGTATCTACACTTATTATCTCTCTGTGTGTGTGTATATATATATATATATATATGCAGAGAAAGAATACATACATATATTATATTATATATATCTATATATACACATAATGCACATTTATTCTCTCTCTCAAGTGGTTAAGAAATGCACTGAGATTAGGAAATCCAAATCTGGCTAAGGATCCCTTTATGTTATATTGCAGCAACGCAATGGTCTGAACAGCATCCAATAAAAATAAACAGTGAAATTTATCAAGAGTATTCAACATCACCCAGGGAAAATATGCCTTGATCAGATGATTTGACCGTGTTGTTATTAGGTTATGCAGGAGTCCCAGTAACTCTGACCACAGTGTCCTGGGGCCTTAATGTCTCAAAAACTAAACATATTCCCAGACCAGTGCCCTTGCCATTTACTGCTCTTGGAACACTCCAGATTTCTGCAGAGCTAGCCCCCTCACTTCTCTCCATTCTTGGCTCAAATATCCATCTTATCAGTGCAGGCTTTCCTGACCCCTCCACTCACTTATCTTGGTGCATCTATCACCCCCACTTACCCACCACAGACATACTAAAAAGTTATTTATTTATATCTCTCTTCCCTAACCACATAAGGACAGGATCTTATTTTGTTTACAGATGTATACCCAGAACTTAAAACAATCTAGCCCATAATGGTCACTCAATAAATATTTGGCAAGCAGATGAATGGATGAATCAATCATCCACTGGTTATGTTTCCTTTTGGTCTAAGTATGAGGTGTGTTGTCCATGTTTTTGAAGCAAATGGCTTGATTCTTCTTAGAGACACATTGTGCCTTATAGCAATTTACATTTCCATTTTAGAACCAAATTGGCCACTCTAGCAGAAATTCATGGCTGACACATTGACTCCAGCCTTATTTGCCCTGTACCTCATTTACTTAGCAATTTTTTGCTTATTTTAATGTTTTGTGATATATATCATTGCAAGTCATCCTAAAATCGGGAGAAAAAGATCAATAAATCCAGGAAAGTTATTTTAAGTTCAGATTATTAAAATGTCATTTCTAACAAATCATATTTGTAAATATAGGGTTAAACAACCCTTGGTGAACTAATAGGAAGATTTATAAATGAGCAAAGCTAGGGGCTATGTCCTGGTTTCATCACGACTACACCCCTACAGAGTGTCAGGTGGTCTTTTTGTGGGTCCTTCCTCTTGTCCTGCACTACAGTGGTGTAAAGAGAAAAGCATAGATGTGCTAGACCAGGGTAGATGCCCAGCTTCACCTCCTTAGACTGATGTTTGGAGTAGTGGCAGACAGTGGTAGCTTCTGCTTCCCCACCGTTTCTTCTCTCCAGGGGCAATTAAACTCCTTTCTCCTCCCTTTTAACTCTACAATCACGTAACTGGCCCTTGCTGGGGCCAGTACACTTCCCAGTGTACTGACTGGGTGGCAGCAAGTCAAGCAGAAGCCACATGCTACAGATGACAGAGACATTACGGAAGGAGACTTAATTCCAAAGTAGCCACTGTCCCAGGGGGTCAGCCAACCAAACACATTAAGCCACTGATATTTAAGATTGCTTGTTACAGCAGCTAGCATCCATTAGCCCGAGGATGCTGGTATATTCATTTCCCAGTCACGGTTCTCCATATCAGTGAAAGAGAAGCAACCTATTTTTCAGTAAAGGTAAAAAATAATAGAGTATAATCCTTGGTACTTAGGTGACATTAGCTCACTAATAATGTGTATGTGTAGATTGGGAGGGAAATACAAAGACTGGCTTGTATTTTTAACTCGAATTATGTCACTCTTTATGTGACAATAGTACACTCCCTGAATCTGTATGTCAGAGCGTCACGTATGTATCATGTACAGAAGATGCAGTATCTGAGGAATTCTCACCCTGCCACTAACAAGATCACCTACTCCTCAGAGATTTGTATCCACACTTGTTTCCTTTCTAGATTTGTCCTACTCAACAACGCATTTCTACCTTAATATACTGAATTACTTCTCTGAAATCAAGATGTTTATTTTTTCGCTTTTCAATTGAAACCAAGTGCAGGTTCCCAGAAGCTTCAATCTATCAGCTATAGGATCTTATTACTTCAAAATCTCAATGTAATAGTTTTCATACATTTTTCCACTCCAGCTAGAGCAATAATACTTTAAGAATTGCGTCTTTGCTCTCAGCATGGGGCCCTCCAATCCTCTCCGAGATTGTGTGATATGAGAAGCATTCAGTGTCACTCTTGGCTCTTAACGGGCACTCAAATACTTTAGTTGTGCAAGGTTATTTTCTCTTTAAGTTCTGTTGCCTCAAATATGCAAAACTCCTGGGTTTCAGATGAATACCAATCACAGCTAACGTTTGATCACAGAATGACAGCCTTCTAATTAATCTGTTGCTCTCATCCGGGTAGCCTATGTGCAACCCGGATGAGACAGTCTTATAATTAATCTGTTGCTCTCATCCGGGTAGCCTATGTGCCTTAACAAGGCAAATCACGCATCCTGCATTCCCTGGTGTGAAGGAACTTACACAGGCCTATCACATCACATCACATCACATCACATCACATCACATCCAGTTTATATTTCTCCTAAACCTTCAGCCAGTGTGTTTTAGGGGTGTATCTATACCTGCCACCAAAGTTAAGGTTTTTTCAGTCATTGTTATTTTTCTTCCTTCTAAAAATAAAGTAGCTGTAATACTGGGAACAACATAAAACAGATGATGGTATTTTGAAGTGTTGGAATTTTATAAAATAAAATGTTTTTAGCTGCAATTTGGAAAAACCATCAAAATCCAGTCATTGATGACCAGCACAGTTAGGAATGGTTGTATTTGAGGATGTTATGTGGTCAGTACAAAGGATGACAGAACTCCACACACACACTGGTAATGGAAAAACAGTAAAGATAATGGGGGAAAAAAACCCAGTGCCAAAATGTATGACATATTTTTAAAAGTATGTTTGAAATCCTCCATAATAAATTTGCTTCAAAATAAGAGTAGAAAGAAAAGACTCCCTCTGGGCAGTCTCTTACAGAATCCTACAAACAGCTGCAGCCAGTGGCTGTTACCTTTGTTAGAGTAACATTCTAGAGTCCCGCCCCCCCACCTCCACAAATTACACAAGCTTGCCAATCAACACACATAAAATACCTAGATGTATTTCTTAAATACTAACTGGTTGCTATGAGGGAATCTGGACTGGAATGGGAGGCTTTTTTCATAAAATGTTTATACCTTTAAATATCTTCACATTATGCATATTATCAATGTCCTTTTTGTTTTTAACTTATAAGGTAATACAAGGCTACTGAGTCATCTATTTCTTTATATTTGCCATTTCTTAAACAGGTCAGGTCAGCTTCTTCCCTCAGGGTCTTTGTATCTGCTCCCTACACCTGGAATATTCTTTCCTGCAGAGAGTCAAATGGTGTTGATCTCCCACCTCAAGACTCCATTTATATCCACCTTCTTCTTACACAGGAGGAAGAAACCAACCCCCCACTTAAAATAAGCAAACCTCCTGCAATTATGTCAACTTATTTCCTTTTACTATATTTTATTCTTTTTTAGCATTCATCACCACCTGACATTAAATTTCATGTTTATTTACAATTTATTCTCTATATACTCATTAAAATATGAGCACATAAAGACCAGGTTGGCTGGTCCCCTCTTAGCCATTAGAAGAGTTCTTGGCACAGTCCTAAATTCACAGGTACCTGATTTAAGGAATAACTGATTTGAAAGGTAAAGTGGATCCAAGAAATGACACAGCACTGACACACATTATAGTGTTTCTCTGCTAGGGGGCACTGTCTGCTTCCTGCGGGAAGAGATGTTTCAGACGGTTGGAAGTTCAAGGATGTTAGAACTATGAGCTCCTTCCTCATCTAAAGGGCGCTGTTAGCAGTGTACTTCGTCTGCCTGCCTGTTCTGCTCCCCACTCTGGCTCTGGTGAATTCTCTCACCCTCCCGCGCTTCTGACTGTACCCAGCGCTTGTATAAATAAATAAATAAATCTTTCAGATAAACAAATAAACAAACAAACAAATAAATAAAGGACTCTGTTAGCCCAAACTGTCAGTCACCTCCAGGGGGTCTCAGAGCACCAAACAAGCACACCTACGGCTCAGCTCACAGGTGGACCTGCTCATTCGCAAAGGAATCTCACTTTCCACACTCCTGAACTCACACGCCTCCATTTACAAAATGGCTCCCCTTCTCCTCTTTCATTAGGTGTTGAGTTTACTATTATGTCAACTGAATGAAGTGGGGGAGGGAGAGACACAACAGATGCAAACTCTGGTTTTTCCTTTTCCTTTCAAGGGTAAAAATTTATTTCTGAGGAAGTTCATGCTGCACATTTCCAATGAGAATCACCTAAGAAAGCAAAATGGTATCCTCCCCTCATCCTAGAAATAAATAAGGGCATAAAATTTCTTTTTAAATCACGACACTTGGAAGTTTAGCACCAGCATCCAAAATGAACAAAAAAAGAAAAAAAGCATTTACTATATATTTCAGATTTCTTTGGTTGGGGTCTTCCCCCTGTGGTATTAATATTTCATCTTTCAATTCATATTACCAAAACAGTAAAAACCAGGAAAAAAATATAAACCTAGTGGTTGCTGAAACTGGGGAGGGTGCTCTCTGTATCCTGTGCAGGCATTCCTGTGATCTCAGCTTGCTGGAACATTGGCTGACATTCTTCTTTTGTAGTTGTTTGTTTCAGAAAGAATAGTACTCATTTCTAATGTCCACTTCTTGATTAGTCTTCCACTTTATTGCTTGAATGTTTCTTTGGTGTTGGTAAGGTCGTGGTCTGCTTTTTGCTTTATTTTTTGAATGGTCATTCATTCTTTAGGTCACCTGGAAAAATTTAAAGCTCAACCTCAGAAAAGTGACAAAATGATCAAAAGCCAAAGAATAAAGAGAAAACTTCAGGTTTTGGTATAATTCAAAAAACAGTATTTGGCTCAAGATCTAAACAGTATTTGGCTCAAGATTTGTAAACTATAATTTAATGAAATCTTTGAAAATAAATTTTTAAAAACTAGAAATGTTGGTACATAATAGTGAAAATTTTGCAAAAAAAATACGATCGTGAGGTCCTTTCAAGTAAACAACCCTAGTGCGTTAATAATTCTTCATGCTCATCTGAGGGGCAGGCGGCCCAATATCCCCTAATATGGGCAAACCACAAGTATATGGCTTTCTCCTATCCCCAATGTTTGACAGGCTGTAAATATGAGGAACTGTTTTCCTGTATTTTGAATTATTTTCTCAGGAAAAACACTTAGAAATAATGTTACTGAAGAAAAGGTGTTGGCCAAATCATTTTGTTAGTTAATGCAAGCAAGTCTGAATAAGGAATTTCTTTATTTATTGCATGGAAGAAATGGGGTATATGCAGGCCAGAAGTGTGGGGTGTAAGAGGATTCACCAGAGACAGAGCAGGTGAGGGGGGTGGAGGTGGGAATAGAACAGGCAGATCTACTGAAATACATTGCTGGGGGAGCAGCAGGCGAGACAGGAGAGGTCTGCTGTGCCATGTGGGTTAAGCTCCCTGGCCGGGGATCGAACTCAGACCTTAGAGATGACAGTGCTGAGACTTAACCCCTAGGCTACCAGAGAGGCCTAGGAATTTATTTCTATGATAAATGGTCCTTGCAGCATCAAGATAAATTAGACTACTCCCAGCTAACAAATGTCTGTCTAATTTAAACCCCAAACCTCTTTATATAAAAGCAGATGGCATATTAAAAGTAGGAACTTACAATAATCTCAAACATGTATGCAATCTTAACAAGTCAAAAAAAAAAAAACAAAAAACAAACAACCAAACAAACAAACCCAATTCCTATTTAATGAAAAAGGCAGCAACAAGAAATTAAAAAAAAAAAAATTCAAGTTAAGCAGGTATTAGGTGAAAACCCAGAATGAAACCAAATATGGCTTATAAAGTAAGATTGGCTCCATAATTTATTCAGTCTTTCTAGCTCTGCTTTTACATTAATAAAATCTCTAGGTTCTTTAACAAGTCACAGAAGTAGGAAACGGTGAAGACAAGCTTGCTTTGTGACTGGGCGCTCTTTACCCTATTGAGGCACCATATGTTATCTCACTATATCTTTGCAACAGCCTGGGGGTGGTGGGGGAAGGTGTCCAGTCAGTATCCCATTGCTCAAGATCACCCAGAAAATGAGCAGCAGAGCCTGCACTGGATACACAAGCCCCTTGGCTCTCACACATCATACTGTACTGCTGCCAAAGAAATAATGTTCGTTATCTAAGGGAAAAGAGGAGTAAAAACCACTCCAGTTTATTCTGCAGATCCATCTCCAGCCACCAAAAGGCCTTTGTGAAGCAAGTGATCAGATTGGCCACTAGGTGTCGCAAAAATAAAAATTTCAGTAAGTGGTGTGAAGAGGTCTCTATGGTTAGAAATTGTCTAGAAAAAAAATTTCACTATCCTTAACTCTGAATGTTTATGGTCCCAAAGCCTTGCAAAAGATCAATCTCAGAGACATTTAACCACCAAAACAGCTCCTACTGCAAAATCCCAACGGTGATGAGGGGATGACGGATGACTCACAGAACTAGTTTAGATTGATTTGTGCCATTGTTGAAAATCAGTGGCATAGGAAAGAAAACATCAGCTACAGCCTGAGCTCTCACCTGCTGATGGTGAAGGTGCCTGGGAGCCTGGTGTTACTCAGCACTGCTCTGCTCGGTGGCTGGAGCAGGGTTCTCAGATGGTGCTTCACCTGCCTTGGTCTAAAACACAAAACAGAACCACAAACCACAAATAATCAATTCCGATGACAGTGGAAAGGTCAAGACTAAAATGGTCTCAAAATCTGGGATTGTCTTGCCTGTGAAGGTAAATCTCTGCAAAATTTTAACTACTCTTAGGTACAAGTCAAAGTTAATACTACAGAAGAATGGCTTCCAAATGGCCCCCACTCTCCAGAACAGAAGCTATACCACACAGGCTTCATTAGAGGCACCTTCCTCTCTGTATTTATTGGGAGAGCCCTAAAAATGTTAGTTCTGATTTCCCAATTAGTATGGATACTTTTTTCAGAGCATGCCAACGAGCCGATTTGCTTGTTACATGCAAGGCAGTCTCTCGTTCTCTCCGTATTTATTATATTTAGAGATTATATATTATAAGAATAATATATATTATTATATATTATAAGAATAATATATATTATATATTATAAAAATAATACATATTATAATATTTATAATATTCATATATGTATAAAGCCCTTGGCTCTCACACTGCTTATAGCACTGCCCCAAAAGAAATGTTAGTTATCAAAGGCAAAAGAGAAGTAAAAACTACTCTAGTTACATATACATATATACTGAACACATGGAATGTTTTTACTAGGCGCTTAAGACAGGCACTGAGGATGAGAAAATAAAGTGTTCTGATCTCTGCCCTCCGTAAACAGAATTACATGGAAACAGAGACTAAACAAGGGAAAGAACATTATTTACCGCGTGCAGCTCTCTACACCACACACGCAGATATCTCAAGCACAATGTTGTTACATATAAAATGTCACATGTAAAATGCATGTAAGTGGAAGTGTCAGTCATGAGATGACTAAAGCACTCTTAAGACTACTCAGCCAGACCTGATGAAGGGTGACCGGCGACCCTACCCTGGCCCGCTGCTTTACCTCTTTGCCATCGTGCGTAAGAGCATTAAGAGGACGGGGGCGGCGCCGATAGTTGTAGGGGCGCCGGTATCCACGGCGAGCAGATGGCTGGTTTGGACCATTGGCCGCTTGTTGATTCTCTTTATCTTCTGCCTCTCCAACAGCTGGGGCGGGCCGTGGGCGAGGAGGTCCCCTGAAGCAGAGAACACAAAACAAAAGAACAAGTGCTGCGGGACGGGGGTCCTCCAGAACAGTTATTTTTTTAAAGATTAAAAAAGTCCAGTGATCACTACTAACTGCTAAAATTATGCAGCAAATGGAACAAAGGTTTGGTGCAAAAACCTATTTTTCCTCTATTTTCACCATTCACCTGACTCCCTATTTGCAGTGAACAAACATTGACCACATACTATGTTCCTACCAGGCACTTTGCTAGGCCCCACAGATGGGAAAATTCAACAAGAAAAGTGTTGGGCAGAGCCTCCGCTCTCATTGTACCAAGTTCAGTGGGGGCAGGGGACTAAACATGGCAAAAAAATTAACATTACACTTATTACATGCCAGCGCTAAGTTTTCATATTGAATATTTAATTTTGGTGCTAATTCTGTTACATATCTTATAGTTAGAAAACCAAGCAATTTAGAGAGGCTAAGTATTTGGTTGGATCTTGTGGGATTGCTGCTTTTATAGGTCAAAAGAGGTCAACTGTAGCTTCTTCCCAGGATCACACACAGTGGGAACTCAAAGAGCTGGGGTTCACATCTACTATTCCCTCCTTTGTTTCCATTAGGCCATCTCTATAAAGCCTCTCATCCTGAAAGTCCTTAGTGGGCCTCCCTGGTGGCACAGGAGTTAAAGACACAGCGCTATCAAGCTATCTCCAGCCACTGCGACATGAGTTCAACCCCCAGCCAGGGAGATAAACCACATGGCACAGCAGACCTCTCCTGTCTCACCCGCTGCTCCCCTCAGCAGTATATTTCGGTCAATCTGCCTGTTCTGCTCCCCGCTCTCTCTCTGGCAAATCCTCGCACCCCTCCCCCTGCACCTCTGGCCTATAACCCTACTATTCTTGTGTGCATAAATAAATTAAAAAAAAAAAAAAAGAGAGAGAGAAAGTCCTTAGTAACTAATCATTAGCATGATTATGTCTAAAACTGGAATTAATCTTGTGAGAAAAAGGACAAGTGGGACAAATCCTTCCCCCAAAATAATACATTCACTCTCCTTTCAATAAACCCACACACCAGGTTTCAAGGTGGTATAAGCATCACTTAGGAATGATGTTCAACTTTTCCACTTTCCTCCAAGCTAAGGCAAAGGAACAGGAGGGCTTATAAAAGGTTTAAAAAGCATCTTAGGGAATCTAGCCTAATTCAGAGATAAAGCATCTTGGATGCATCCGTGCATTTAACCCTACCGACAATTGTAGAATATTCCTTATTGTTCATCTTACTGACCTGATGACCATGTTTTACAGAGCCAAGAACCTTGCCTTAGAAGATACAGCTACTGGGGCTTCCCCGGTGGTGCAGTGGGTTGAGCGCAGCCCTGTGAAGCTGTCCGCAGCCTCTGCAGCGCGGGTTCGATTCCCGGCCGGCCAGGGAGCTACCCACATGGCGCGGCAGACCTCTCCTGCGCCCCTCAGCAGTGTCTTCGGTCCATCTGCCTGTTCTGCTCCCCGCTCTGTCTCTGGTGAATTCTCTCACCCTCCCGTGCCGCTGACCTGTACCCCAGTTCTTGTATGAATAAATAAATCTTAAAAAAAAAAAAAGAAAGAAGATACAGCTACTAACTCAGAGTGGGAATTTAACACAGACAATTTTTCAGTAGCCTGCTTTAATCCCTTATCCTAGACCGTCTCATTTACATACTCTAACACTCAATTCCCTCTCCCTTTGTAAAACTGCCACTGAATCAGACATCAAATATAATAAAAAAAATACATGTTAATGTATTTGTTAAGCAAATATAAAAAATGCTTTGGTACAGGGGTTAACTAAAAATTGGAATTAAGGGGAAAATATGCATACTGCCCCCTGAAAACTTACACTGCCAGGCCCCCCAAATTCAGGCATGCCATCAAAGCAGTCACTTCTAGCCACACAACAAATCCACAGCACAGACCCACCACCCCAGCCTCTGCCTCCCTCCGCCATGGCTCCCAAGTCCTCCTGCTGACGCTAGGAGGTCACCCACCTGCGGTACCTTGGGCGGTAAGTCGGGTTCCTGTGGACCGGCCCCTGAAGCTGTGCTCCCTCTGGGGCTCCGTCCTTCATCTCTCCAATCTCACCAGCCTAGAAGAGGGCCATGAGCCCAAGAGTGAGTATCATACTCCAGGACAGGAGAGACAAAGAACACAGCTGCATTCCCGATTTTTTTTAAGTAAAAAAAGAAAATACTTGATTACAAAGGTGGGGACTCTCAGGTGTAATAGTGAACCACCTCCTGATAGAGCTTTGTGAATGACAGAAAGGAAAGAGAAACTCATTCCCACTAGAGCAGTCTTATGCTTTAGCCCAGAGCACCTAAAATATTAATTTTAACATTCTGAAGTGCTCCACTCAGCCCTTGCAAGAAAATCCACCTTATAAAAGGAAAAGGAGTGAAATACTACCTCTGAGCCATGAATCTTTTCAATCTTTTCCAACTCAGGCCTCCTCGGTATACCTTCAACACCGGCAATGCTTTTCATATTCCATAAAGCTCTCCTGCACCTCTACCGTGTGCTGCATCTAAACCTTAATGGCATCCTCACCTGATTCCACACTTTCTCATTTTTCCTGTTAGTTGCTTGTGTTATTTATTCCAGCATAACATTTTTAAAAAATTAAATTTACTTCCTTCATGATAAATTTATTTTAAGCTGGGGAATAAAATCAACTTTTTGTAGAATCACCACCAGGAGAAGAAAGAACAGCTGAAAACTAACAAAACACCACCACCAATCTCTGGATTCTTGGCACTACAGTCACATCTCACACTTGGCCCTCAAAGCTAATGTCCCTTCCTCCTCCATATTTCACTAAGGGAAGAGAAGCAAGTAGAAAATGGATCTGCTTATTCTTTCACTGTCAAATCCGCCAACCTACCTGTCCTTGCATTATTTGGTCCACACTCACCTCCCATCTGTCACCTCCCAGAGCACTTAACTCTCTCCTCTCCTCTGTACATTTTTTCCTTTCCATCACTGCATTCCAATCATACAAACATGCTGAAATAGCACCCATCATTTTTCAGTTTAAAAAAATCACAAACTTGCAGAGAAATTGGAATATAGAGCCTCATCCTCGGACCCCTGCTCAGATTTTAGCAATTTTCCTTGACCGCAAAGAGACCACGTCAGGCCTTCTTTGGTCAGTGTTTGCCTTTGGTGATCTTGGCATTTTTTAAAGATTACAAGCCAGTTGTTTTGTAAAACAGCCCCTCCATTTGGCTTGCTTGGATTTTTCAGTGTATACATCTGTGGCTGGGGAGCCCCAAACTGCAGCTGCATTCTTCTGGGTGCCATGAGCTCAGACACTCCTATTCCCATCTGTGCCATCACTGACAAGGCCACTCAGAGAAGTGGCTGAGGCGCTACTTGCCAAGGTGTCTCCACTGAGTTTGCCCTTTCCCCCTGCGTGACTAATTGTTAAAAGGCACTTTCAGAGTCTGTAAAGATTCCAATCCTCACCAACTTCCCAATACATTTATTTATTTATATCTCTATAGACTCACGGCGTTCTATTTTATTCAATGAGTTATAATCTGTTACTATCATTACTGACCAATGGGAACGCTTTCCAGCTGGCTCATGTGCTTCTGACCAGCCTCCAACATTCTTTGAGTACTTCCTTGCTCTCTGGCACAACAAGATGTTCCAAGCTCATATTGTACTCTCTCTGGGCCCAGATCTACAATCCTGCATTTCTCCAAAGGAGTGTCTTTTTATTGGAGAATGGATTAAAAAATGAAACCTTGAGGACCATGTATGCTCGATGCTATTAAGGGGTCTGTGATTCAGGCCCCTTAAGTGAAAAGAACTAAAGAACACAAGCACGTATACACACACACACATACACACACACACACACACACTGAAAGTTGCATGTATATAAATGTGGTCTATTGACGACATGGATACATCAATCTGTCCATCTGTGGCCTTGGGAGTAAGTGGTTGGTGAAGGAAGGATGAGGGAGACCAGCAGACAACATTCTCAGTGCAAAACCAAAATCAAATCACAGCTTGCCCTCACCCCATACTACTCCAGCTACCGCTCTATTTCTTCAAGCTCCTTTACAGAGAATTACCAAAGGAAAACCACCAGCACCACCACAGAAACCTCCTCAAAGAGAACAGATGGCTCCTCTTCCTCACACGTAGCTCAGCTTTCTCTTGAATTCACTCTAGTTAGAGGTCTGTCCTCACCACACCACTAGACACTAAGTTACCAAACCCAATCATCAATCCTCAGTCCAACTTCCTCTATTAATCAACAGCTGTTACCATGGCACTTCCTAAAACACATTCTCCCTGCCTGTTACTGTCCTTTGCTGGACTCTCACCTTCCTAATCTCTGACCAAAGATGAGCCCCAGCTCATTCCGAGGAGCAGTACACCCTACCCCAAGCTGTTAAATACCATGTGGATTTTTGTGGTGTGCGTTTTACACAGTCCACACGCGTGTGTGTGTGTGTCCTGAGCCCTGTATCTCCCCCTTCAAGCTCCCTTCAACCTTTGCCATTCCAGTCCCATCCCAGCACCTAAAGGACACGCACCTGTGAGCCCCATTTAGGTCTCTTCTCAACGACATCTCCCAAGACTCTGCGAACCACCTGATCTTGAACCACACCTTCCTCTCTCCAGCCCCTTCTACCTCTGGGCTATACTTTCTTTTCCTGCCTACTGGACCTCTCCAGGTATAATTTCACATGGAAAGGACCTCCCACTGATTTCCATCTCTCCCCTCAAACCTGGTCTTTCTTTAGTCTTCCTAGATTGCAATCAAAACCCACAAAAATATCCTTCACTGCTCACACCACACATCCAGTCCATCATTAAATACAACCACTACTATGCTTAAAACACTTCCTCTCTGACCCCGGTGCAGCCTCCTGTAGCCTGTGCTGCTTCGCCTTGCCACAGGGAAATCACGGCAGCTGGTCTGCTGCCTTCTCCGGCGGCCTTCTGTGGGCCAGACCCCACAAACAGTGTGATGACCTCTGTAAATGTTTCATCAAAAAAGGCCTGTTCACGCTAACCCCAGGTTCTACCCCCTTCTCTTCACTGACACCATCCCAACCAGAGCTTCTCTTTGGTTCTCCACAAACTAAGCTGCTTCTGCCTCACAAGCACTGATTCACAAAACAGCAGTTCAATTAACATGTATAAATGACGACAGCTTTTTCTAGAACGGCAGAATGGGAAGAGTGTGGGCAGACAGAGTGAAGTGAAATCAAGCTCTGTCACTTTGTGCCCATGTAACTTTCTTCTAATTCTTATAAACACTCAAATCTCTTTATTTGTAACAGCACATATGGAAACCATTGCCAACTTTAGGAAGCTGTCAGGAAGACTGAAGATGAACTGATTTCAAACATCTGTGCTTCGTAGACGCCAAACAATGTCACTCTTTCCTCCATCCAATATTTCTTTTCTCAAAGGCTACAAAGAGTTGGTATTAATTCAGGAACCAATTTGACTGAATTTTCAACTACATGAAATTATTATCTTCAAAAAATGGCAGTGGTCTGGTCACTGATGTATCATGCTAGACTACGTCCTTGGACAGGGAGATACCATTGGCCTCTACAGGGTCCTTTTCTACTGCTGTCCAATAATTTCCTAATTTTGTATATAATAGAAAATAATGGCATGGATATTTCTTCTTCACTTCAGTAATTTCTCCCCCCAGGCATCTGTTTATACCTTTAAATCACTATACTGACAAACTTGGAGTGACCTAGTTCTTCAGAAAACCATTTTCATTTGCTGCTGCTGATCATATTAATCAGGGCTCTTAGTAACTGCACATCTAAACAAGGGCTGTATTGGAAAGACTCTCAGGGAAACCGATGAAGGAATCTAAGACAGCTTTTATTTCAGATACGGAACGGGTAAGACATGAAGTCGAGTTAAAAACAACTGAACACAGGGCCTCCCTGGTGGCACAAGGGGTTAAGCACTGCACTACGGAGCAATCCACAGCCTCTGCAGCATGAGTTCTATCCCCGGCCGGCCAGGGATATGGCACAGCACATGGCACAGCAGACCTCTCCTGACTCGCCTGCTGCTCCCTTCAGCAGTGGTTTCAGTCAGTCTGCCTGTTCTGTTCCCCACTCTGTCTCTGGTGAATGCTCTCACCCCCCGGCATCTCCGGGCTGTACCCCAGCTCTTGTATGCATAAATAAATAAATCTTTTTAACAACAAAAAAAAAATCCACTGAACGCAGTTATTAGAACAAGCACATCTGTACAAAAAGTAGTTCCAACCTCTCAGCACCACTAATGCTCTGAACACGCCATGCACCGCCTGCCTCTCCCTGCCCTCGCTTCCTAGAAGCCCAGATGCTGTCCTAAAGAAACCCACTAGGCCTCGTGGCCCCGACCTCTCCACATATGCACGGCTACTTGTTATTTTTAGCACATTTGTCAGGGACAGCTGTTGAAAGGGGAAGGCGAAAACAAGGAGCAACGCAGAAAGAACAGTCATGCGTGATGGGGTCGGAGGAGGGGAGCAGGGAACAGGCTGAACATAATGTTCAGTCAAAACACTTAGTGGAAAAACAGAAACCAAGGACACTCAGAGGAAGACGTCGTCATTTACGTTAACAAAAGTGATCTCCTAACCCGAGCTCTCCAAGCCTCCTGGGAACTGCCAAGTGGGCACGACAACAATAGTTGTGTCACTATGTTGCCGTGAAAAAGGAGAAGCCGGCAGTAACCCCGTGGCCGCCCTCACTCGGCTGGGCCTTCTCAAGCACAGCCTCTCATCTGAAGGAGCGAGGTTCTCCCTCCAGAGGCACCTCACCAAAGTCTCTGCTTTTGATTTCATCATCACTACTGCATGGTGGGGGCACAGTATTTCCCAATTTAATGGGCAGCCAATCATACTGGCTGAACTGGTTTTCTCAAAAGCTCACAGATAACTGCATAGCGGAGCAGAGGACAGATTCCAATCCAGGCCCACCTGGCTTCGCAGTCTGAGTGCTCACACTTGCCCTGTCTCCCACCCCACCTCTCTCGTTCTTCCCCAGTCTAGAAGCTGCGCTCTGCGGAGACTAGGAGACTAGGCACTGCGCTCTGCACTGCGCTCTGCAGAGACTGGGAGACTAGATAGAAACTGCTCTGCGGAGACTAGGCACTGCACTCTGCAGAGACTAGGAGACTAGGCACCGCGCTCTGCACTGCGCTCTGCACTGCACTCTGCACTGCACTCTGCACTGCGCTCTGCACTGCGCTCTGCGGGGACTAGGCACTGCACTCTGCAGAGACTAGGAGACTAGATAGAAACTGCTCTGCGGAGACTAGGCACTGCACTCTGCAGAGACTAGGAGACTAGGCACTGCGCTCTGCACTGCGCTCTGCACTGCGCTCTGCACTGCGCTCTGCGGGGACTAGGCACTGCACTCTGCAGAGACTAGGAGACTAGATAGAAACTGCTCTGCGGAGACTAGGCACTGCACTCTGCAGAGACTAGGAGACTAGGCACTGCGCTCTGCACTGCGCTCTGCACTGCGCTCTGCACTGCGCTCTGCACTGCGCTCTGCACTGCGCTCTGCACTGCGCTCTGCGGGGACTAGGCACTGCGCTCTGCAGAGACTAGGAGACTAGAAACTGCTCTGCGGAGACTAGGCACTATGATCTGCTGCTCTGAGGAGACTAGGCACTGTGATCTGCGGAGACTAGGCACTGCCCCCTCGCGCCAGGCCCCGTTCCAGGGCCCCCTTCGGCAGCGCGCCCGCGAGGCTGTCAGGAAGCCACAAGCCACAAGCGAGTCTTACTCCCGGCGGCTGGGGCTGGAGGAGGAGGAAGAGGAGGCAGAGGAAGGATGAGGGGTGAGGATCGCTCAAGAGAAGTCCCAGGTGCGTGTTACCTGCATTCTGCTGGGATGGGGAAAGACCCGCGAGCGGCGGTCAAAGGTCTGTCCCACGTGGTAGGGCGGGAACCGCCGCGGCCGGTACTGAGGGCGGTACGGGGGGCGGCGCGGCTGGCTCCGGGCCCCGGGGAGCTGCCTGTCGGCGGCGGGGGGTTCGAACCCCTCGCTGCTGCCGCTCCCTTCCTCCTCCTCCTCCCCAGCGTACTAGCGAAGCAAAGAAACAGAGATTCAGAAGGAGTTTCAGCGAGGAAAGGGCCAGAGAATACCATTAGAATGAATATCACCAAGAGAAAAAAATCTTCCCCCGAAGAAACAATCCCTTCAATTCTATAGACAAAATGCATTTAGCCCAGGTTATCAAGTGATGACCGGGGATAAACTACATTACAATTAAAGTTTAGATCTGTGCAGATAAAATACCAAGAAGCAGAAAGCAAGAGCAATATATAATGCATTTAATAGCCATCTAATTAAATGGATGAATATTAATTCACCAACCACCCAAAGAACATCGACCAGGTTTATAATATTTAGCTCTGCTAAATATATCTCTTCCAGCATTTATTGGGGGGTGGGTAGTCAGGGCAAAGTCACAAAACATATTCTGTGGTGTCACCGACAGTTGTCTTAAAGCAATTCTACTTTCTGCAGCAGTTTTCAAAGCACAGGTGGGTTTCTGAAACCCTTCCTGGGGGTAACCCATGTCAAACCATCTTCATAACACTACTTAGATGCTATCTGCCTTTCCCCATCTGTCTCTCAGGAGTGGGGGGGGGGGCTCCCAAAAGTTAGAATGACATGTGTTCTGTCAGCAAACTGCAGGAGACATGAGAATCCAGCTGTCTTCTGTGGAGCCAGCCATCAGAGATTTGCAAAAATCTAAAGCAACACCACTCTTCTCACTCAAATTTAAAAAACACAGTTTTCATAAATAATGTTATTTACATGGAGTGAGCTTGTTTTAAATCAAATGCTGTTTTAATTTCTAATATGATAAATATGAATACATATAAATGCACATAAACAAAAACTCTGGGATTGCAATAACATTGGAGCATGTAAATATGTCCAAAACCCAAAAGGTTTGAGCCCACTCATGTATGTCCTGATTTTCTCCATAAGTTTAGGAATAGGGCTTAATAAGTTTCAAAAAATTTCACAATTTTTATAAGTTTATAAGTTAAACTTATAATAGTAAGTTTCACAATTTTTCCTGTATTTATACTCTATCCCACAATAACAATTTTTATGTAAAAATATAAATAAACAGCCAAACATCCCTCAAAGAATTTTTTATTTCTAATCTTACTTTAAGGGGTGGGGCGGGGAATGTACAAGCACCAAAGGTAGTCTCTGAAGGGAAATAAATATAATTTTTAAAAGTGAACATATTAAAACAAAACAAGACCATTTCTTTTGAGGGTGAGGGCATATAAAATTTAGAACCCCTGGAGTATGTCCACAGGGGCGACTAAATTCCCAAAGAGAAAAATGCTAAGCCTCAACTAGTCTAATTTCAGAAAAAAAAACAAAATTATGCTAACACTTCATAAAACCTTTATTAGCTATGATCCTCGATTATGTGAAGACATATTAGCATAGAAAATGTTCACCAAAACATTAAGTGTGAGACCACATAAGCTGTTTTTCTTTTTAGGATTGTTTGTATCTTTTTGAGTTTTATACAGTCAAGTCTTTCACAGAGTAAGCAAAATGGCTCCGCCACGGCCAGACATGCTCTTGAGAGCTACTCAATAAGCTGTCAGGACTTGAAGACATCACAACAGAAAACCTTCACATATGTTTACCATCAGAATTTTGATGATTTTATGTCTAGACATCTTCCACATGCCTGTGTGCCTTCTGAATTTCCAGTTGAGAAGAAAAAGTCTTTCAAGAAAATCTTTTCACTAATGGTGTCCTTCACTTTTACTTGTGGATTAATATGCAGGATTAAAATAACCTCAACTTGAGCTATTGAACCCAAATTGGGAGGAGTTATTAGAGTAAAAACACAATTATCATTATTTGCACTGGTAAGTATAGCTACACTGACACATTTTATAATGTGAAAAATCATATCTGAGTGGTACATTTCAAATAAAAAACAACTTTAAACAATACAAAAAAAAATCAACAGGATAAACAAACATGGGTAAGAAAAATATAGAAATAGCAAAACAAGATGTCATTAGGAATCTGTTAAAAATCAATTAGGGCAGGGGATGAAGCTGATGAAAAGGAAAAAGAGCATTTATGTAAGCAGGATACAAATACCAAAGCAGAAAGATATTTCTTTCTCAACCTGCAGATACTGCATTCTGTTAAGGCTTTTCAAAAGTTTTCCTTGGATGACATACATAGCACCAATCCTGTGCTCATCTTGGGTTTTATTCTCTATGGTATTATAGATCTCAGCTACTCATTCTAGAAATAGCAGAAAAATTAACCAAATCTTCACCACCACCAATGAATGGGATTCTCTTGGGTGTCTCGAATACTCCAAATTGAACCTAAGAAGCTCCAACCAGAGGTGGTTGTAAACCCTTTCCCCTGGACTGCTACCAATCTAAAGAACTAAAAATCTGGAGAACTACTTACTGCTTCTTTACCTTCGCATCATGGGAAAAAAGGTGTGCTAAATGGCTATTCAATGGAGGCCGATTATTTAATGCTGGTGGGCAGCACTGCTTATTGCCTATGCCCAAGCTATGCCCATCCTTCCTTGCCAACCAAATGCTGATTTTTCTTAGAGGTCACAGTGCCGGCACAGAAAGATGAATGACAGGTTGAAGCCAGTCACAGGAGAATGAATACAAGACCCAACCAAGAGGCTTTCTGAACCCCTGGCACTGCCTACCTTAATTAAGCCTGGTTACAGGATAACTAAATGTTTCCTACTTGCAGCCAAACAGCTACAAATTGATATAACATCTGAATGGCCAGTTTCAAAAGACCTATGGCTATGGCTGAATTCTCAGTAGGGAAAGGTCCCCACCCGGCCCTGCCCCAAATCACTGTGTGTCTCCGGGAGAAGATGCACCATTATCTGCTCCCACTATGTACACTTAATTTTCGATGTGCAAACCTTTTCAATCACTCATTAGGAAGAGGCGACATACATTACGGGGAGGCCCACGGCGTCTGCCATAGTAGCCACGTCTGTAACGGCGCCGATCAGCAGCGTAGCGGCTCCCTTCCACGGGAACCCCATCCGGGCCGGTCACATTGGCTGCTTCCGCACCCTGAGGAAGGCAGCAGAGAGATGGCCTCAGAATTTATGGCAAGCCACACAATCCTCCCAAAACAACCAGTGGCTAAAGCTGGTAGGATGTACTAACAATTTCAGCTGTAACCTCAAAAATACACCCCGTTTTAGTTAAGGTGAAGGAGGAGTTTATGTCCTGATTTAAACGGCTCAGGCTTGTTTGCTCATGCCAGCTAAACTTTGCCTTCTTGGTTGGTTATATTCACGAGGAGTATACACCTCTTAAAAAAAAAATTAGAAACTATAATGCTAGCAATTCTAGACTGGGAAGAACATTCCTCAATGGAAAAGTATGGAAATAATATATTATCTTCCTAGAAATTGCTGGAACCTGTTACTTTAAGAGGTACCAAGAGAATCCCTCTCCTTGGGCTCCGAGGGCTCTGTCCGCTGCTGATGGCTCGCTGCTGATGGCTCTGTCCGCTGCTGACAGACAGAGGGAGAGCTACACTTCACCCACGTTGGCAGCAACAGGAAGGAAGGGCCCTTGACTTAGTAATAGTTACCACCTTCCTATTATCCTTGGGCACAGTGCTTCAAAAATATAGGAAATTCAAACAAAGGAGCACTGTTTATTGCCTATGCCCAAGCTATGCCCACTCTTCCTTGCCAACCAAATGCCGATTTTCTTAGAGGTCACAGTGCCAGCACAGAAAGATGAATGACAGGTTGAAGCCAATCACAGGTGAACATGTATGAGTATGAAGAGTATGCTTCATACTCTATTTCAAACCCTGAAGTTCTGAAAACAGACAGGGAAAATTAACCTGGCAAATTGCAATTTTCAGATGGGATGGCACATTAGAAATCGGTAGAAGTCAGCATTTGCTGGTGATGATTTGAAATGCCAAGATTTGCACAAAATGTCCTGGGGATCATCTTGGCAAAGTACTCACGTATATTAAATGAAATAAATTGTTTTTCTGTCAAAACAGAACAGTTTGAGCACTGCTAAGAATATAGAGCACGGGATGGTGCATATGCACGTGCCAGAGCACACGCATGGAGTTAACCAGTCATTTATTCAGTTAGTTTATGATTCAGCTGCCACAATTAGCTGCCATGGCAACTTAGCATATATGGTTTTAAAATGTTTTTAATCATATTTTATATCATTTTATTGCTTATATGTAAACACATCTATTTGTTAAAAACAGAGCATAAAGGACACCAGTGATATTGGAATTAAATATGTAACAGCATAAAAAAATTCTGCAGATGACCCATTAGCTCACTGGGTTGAATTCATCTTAACATAGTTAACGCTCCAATCTTAAGATGCTTTCAGCTTTCCAAAACTCAAGCCAAAGAGATATAACACAATGATTATACTCAATGTGAATCTTCTTTTGCTGAGATAAAAACACTCTGTGGTATATTATTTATGCATAAATGCTTACAAATCACAGCCTAAGAAGTTATATCCTTTAAAAAGAACTTTTTCTCCAAAGCAGCTCTTACCAACTTTCAATGCCATAAAGCAGTCAAATTTTAATCTACATTTGAATATACATTTGGTACCAAAATAAAGTCACTTTAAATCTTGAGAAATTGTTTTTTTCCTTCTATTATTAGTATCCATTGTTTATTTAACGAGGGACTCAAATGTCCTTTCATATTATACCCAAGAATGTTCGTAATAACATTCAATAACCAAAGACAGTTCTACTTAAAGTCTCTTCTGGTCTGCAAAACAATCTGAGGTAATGTTAACTCATCAGGCGCTAAGAGACCATTTACTGTTAGGAAACTCTGTGCCCACACACTCTAGTACCCAGTCATTGTTTTTCTCACCTTCTCTCCTTCAACCACATCAAACTCTACAGTTTCTCCATCTCCTACGCTGCGAAGATATTTCCGTGGGTTATTCTTCTTGATGGCAGTCTATCAAGAGAACAGAAAATTCTAAATGAAGAAAATGTCAACATTGGCCACATGTGTCATTGCTCTCGTGGTTCCTGGGAATACTCAAGAAACTGTTGACTCACTGTTACTTTTCAAAGGTATCATTCTCCTACTAACCTGGATCTGCAAAAACCAACAGAAAAACACTATAAATCTACATTACACATGACAGTCTGGATTCATGCTAGCCTTCAAAATTTATTTTGGGAGCTACATTAAGCAGAAAGTGGAGCTACCATGCCCTTCTGTTACAGTCTGCCCACCTAAGTCACCATACTGGATGTAGTAGGTCCCTGAAGCCCTTCACTGTCCTCCAGGGGACCCCGGGGGCAATGCCTTCCTAATATCTTACACATATACAAGCACACAAATTAGGCGAGATGTTTCTGTCAATAAGACAAACTGCTCCCCTTCAGTGGCATTTCAAACCATGCAAAGGGAAAGATGAGGAATATTAGAAAAAGGAAATAAAAAAAATACCAAGAAGAGAAATGGTTCTCATAGAATATACAAAATATCTGAGGAATCTGTCACTGATAATCTGGTCTCTCCACCACATCCCCACACCCAATTTTGTGGATGAGGAAGCATGAGGCTGAGATCACCAAAATACAACCCAAGGGAAGGGGGTGAGGGGTGGTGAGCAGGCAGGGGGCACCCACATCCCTGAACTAAATCTACACTCATGGAATGAATAGCTTTGCCATCACACCATCCCCATCAACTTGCTCCGACAGCCACGGACAGAGAGTACATTAAAGGGTTAACGAAGATCCCCTCCGCATGAAGTGTCTGCACCCAAGTCTCTGCTTACTAACAGACCTCCTTTTTCAATCAGGGGAAGAGAGAAATTCCTGCAGTGAATCCCCATTTCTTCGATCCAGTCTCTCTAAACAGTTAAAGGGGCTCTGAGTTTCTGTGGAACTAGGTCAACCTTATTTTATAAAGCGATTAAGCATGTGTAATCCAGCCCTTCCCTTACTCTGAGTAGGAGGGAGGGAAAAAAAAACACACAAAAATGAGTGAGCCAATAGGGCTGAGACCTCACCCACAGAGGGAAAAAAGGCAGCTCAGGACAGGATCTGTGCGCACGCAGTCTGAACAGTCAGCCATTCCAAAAACAGCCCCTCCTGGGCCGGCTCGTTCCCTTTTTCCTGTTAAACTGGGCAGGCCTCAACACATCGAGGTGACTCACCACGACCTCATGAGGGCTGGAATCAGGTCATATTCTCACAGGCTACGAAGCCGCCACCAGCACAGAAACTGCCGAAGTCCTTTACTTTAGTCGTCGTCGAACCTAAGCATTCCTACCCCCAAAAGGTCGATTATCCTCCAGGTTTTATAAACAATATTTCCTTTCAGTGTGTTGTGACCTTAAAAGTCATTGTCTCTGAACCAAAAATCTCGTCAAGTTACCTAGGCACAAAGCTGAACTACATCCAGTCAAGCAGAAATAGAAACGATCCAAACCACAACTAGGGAGTTTATGCTCAGCTATCCCGGTCTCCACCCGCCACCCCCCAGCACACAACAAATCTAAACAGAAAGAAACAGAAAACCAGATGCTTGGTGGAGCCCAGAGGTAAACGTGCTGGGATTAGCAGCTGCCACTTCACTTCCCTGGTTGTTTTGCACTAAGAACTCCACATGCATTTGAGACAATTCAGTGAAAACTAAACATGCCAAAAGAACATTTAGGTACCTTTCCTCCGCTTGGCCTATTTTGAAAGGCAAGTCCAGGACACATCATAATACAATAAGCAAGATCCTAGGCTACTAATGTCAAGGAAAAAACTAAGGGACCTCTAGCAGGGACACCGTGCTCTCTCGGTGTCTCACCCATTTCCTGAACTTCCTTCACATCTGAAGGAACGTTCTTTTGCCCTGGACATGGGCTAACCAGGCCCCAGAGGAACAGTCTGAGGACTATCAAGGGGATTGAGTTTTCTCCTGCCTTGGAGACACAAACCCCCATTCACCTGCTTAGTTCAAGTGAGAGCTGCCCTGGTACAGGAGCTTAACCAACACGCAGCCAGGCAAAAACAAGACAGTCCCAGCCAAACACGAAGGAGGAGCCCCAAAGTCTAGATGAAAAGAAAAGGATGCTAATGTGGAAACAAATGTTTTATTTTTTGCTAAGGCCTCAAAGACATTACCAATTAAAAGTGGTCCAACTGAATGACTGACTCCATTCAACTACAAGAATAAAATAATTTCAAAACAGTTAATATGATGGGATAACAAGAGTCTATTGGTCCACCTTAGAATGTGGAATTGAGTTCCCTTGCCAACACAAAAGCACAGAAAGCCTTGAGATAGTAATTCACAGGACTTCATTTTTTGGAAAGGAAGACTGGACACCCTTCTCCTCACACAACAAATGTACCATTTACTATACCTCTTACCTGATGTACAAATACATCTTCTTTGGTGTCATTTCTGTTTGGAGACAAAAAGTTCACAATTAAAGGGACTAAGTATAGGGGAAAACTTCAAACAGCAGATGTTTCATGAATGAGTTCAGATCCCAAGACCTCACAAGACAACATGCGTTTTTGTTTATCCTCCAAACCCCCGGCAGATGCTGAGAATCAAACTTCTAAACCTGCAAGACACCCACTCCCACCTCCCTGCACATGATCACAGTGCTTACATCCAAGTGGACAGATTTGACATACAGGGACATTCCTTTCCTCTCAGCTCTCTCTCAACCACGTGGTATGTAACCGAGCCCCAGATTTCCCTCCCAGCAAAAGCAAAGCAAGACAGTTAGAAGGACAGAGCACAGCTGTGAACGAGGCTCTCCTTACACTGAAACCTAAAACAGTACCCCCCCCTCCACCACCCTGCCCTAACTCTTCGCCTGCTCCCACCCCCCACCCCCCAAGCAGACAAGGAAGCAATGTTTTTTAAGAGTGGGAGGAGAGAGCAAAGAAAATGATGATATCATGTAAAAACATCATCCAGCTCGCAACAGCTTGCAGATGAGTTCTCATTCCTATATGGTTATTAGTTACCAATGTTTAAAGAAAACAGGACGGTTACTACACTGGACTTGGACCTGACCCAAGCAGATCCAGCTTCCTTACTCACTGGTTGTGTGACCTTAGAAAAGTTGCTTCACAGGTCAAAGACTACACTCCTCCATCAGTGAAGTTATGGGTATGGATTCAACCATCCTAAGGCCCTTCCTAAGACCTCCCCCCACTGCTTTTCCCCATTAATAACTAGAATTTATAAACAAGTTATTTACCAATATTCTGGAAATGGATTTTAATGATTAGTTAATGGCTAATCTCTTAGAAATGAGCATACTCACAGTGAGTAGGACGGTTAACACTTAAATAAGCTATAACAAAGTACAGCAAAGGATATAAAACTGCTGGTACGACAATATGAACACATATTTCAGACAGGTAGAGAGACGCAGACACACATACCGATTTATAAATCCATATCCATTTCTGACGTTGAACCATTTGACAGTGCCAAGGACTTTGGTGGCTAAAATAGGATTAAGCAGATAAATTAGTATCTGACCTACAAAGAGATAACATTGGCATCACTCAGGTCTTGATAGCATTATATAAAACCTAAACATACCTGAGGAAACCATTAAAAGCTTAATTCCAAAATCTATTAGTAAAAGAAAGCGGAGCAAGTCAAGACACCGTAGGAAAACCCTCTCCAAAGACTGAATCTTCCCTGTTAACCTTTTCAGTAGAGTTGAAAGGAGTGCTGATAAGTCTACACAATTCTGCAATAATTCCATTAGGAAGCATGGCTTAAGGAAAACAAACCAAAAAAAATGCTCTTTAAGATTAAAGTGTTAACATAGGGAAAAAAAAAACCTGTGCAAGTGCAAAAGAGGGGCTGTGATCAAAGAGAATGTGGACAGATGAAAAATTAAGTCCCAGTGATCCTACCATCATTTTAACACTGAAATATTAGGCAAACCCTCATAGGTCCTTGCAGCTTAGCTTTGAAAGAAAACAAAACAACTTATCTGCATTTGCCAGATGGGGGACCCAGCAGAGGGGTCAAGAGTTAGGACAGAACTGATATTATCTGCATCTAGTTCCACACCTATCACCCTAAGCCCCCTCACCCTCAAGGAACAGACCTTTTCACACCAGTGCCAAATTTGGGGTTCAGATGCATTGTTTACCCTATTCACTGTGGTCAGTGGAAACCAAAGGTATTTTCTATAAACCCCCCTTTGCTTGATTATTGTTACCACTTCCCATCATGAGTAGAACCATTTCCATTTAACACCAGATTTTAACAAGATGTCCAGGAGGACTTTAAGCTAAGAGAATGGCCACCTAACTTGCACTTTTAGATTCAAATTGATGTCAGCCATCAAGTATGATTTAAGATGACTCCTTTGACTCAATTGTGAATGCCAAATTCAGCTCCTCTAGGAAATGCTTATGTCTGAATTCAGGAAATGCATAAAGCAATTATCAAGACTCAGTGTAACAGGAAATCTGACAATAGAGTACCTAAAAAAAAGTTTAGTGGCGAATGAAAGTAACAATTAACATTAAGCCATGCTGCCTCTCAGTGAGATACAAAGTTTTTAATTTCTAAGGATAAACAATAAGGATTTGGCTTTTAGATTCAAGACTAAAATAGTAATGAGGACTTGCTTTGTTGTGGGCAGAGTTAGTTCTGAGTTTTGCTAGACTGATATACTTCAGGGTAAGTATTTTAACTTTTTGTTAAAAAAAAAAAAACACCACTTTATGTCTTCCAAAGTCATTCAGCCCACCACCAACAGAATAATTTCCAGCTCTAATTCCAAGTAAGGAAGATCTCTCCACTGAAGAGATTCACCCATTGGAATCCACAGTTTAAGACAGTAGAGCAGGGGCCTCCCCGGTGGCGCAGCGGCGCAGCGGTTGAGCGCTGGGTTGCGAAGCTACCCGCGGCCTCTGCGGCGCCGGTTCGATCCCCGGCTGCTCCCCAGCCACTGGAGGAGGGTCCCACATGGCGCGCAGACCTCTCCTGCCGCCCGCTGCTCCCCTCAGCAGTGTACTTCGGTCCTTCTGCCTGCTCTGCTCCCTGCTCTGGCTCTGGTGAATTCTCTCACCCTCCCGCGCTTCTGACTGTACCCAGTGCATGTATAAACCAAACAAACAAACAAATAATAAATAAATAAATAAGACATGCCTCTAGAAAATTAAAAAAAAAAAAAGACAGTAGAGCAAAGGTGAAAAAATTATGTTTAAGATCCAAATTTACACAGAACAGGCTCACTTTTGATAAATTATATGCTTTTAAACACATTATGTCAAATCATAGGTTTTTGTACCTCCTCTCACTTGCCCTAAAATTAATGACCTAAGAAAATATAAAGGCAGGAACTGTTTTCAACTCATTTTCACATAGTTAATATGACGCAATGTCAATGGAATAATCTTGAATAGAAAGGCAACACTAGTTTTATTGGGAACGAAAGGTAAAAGAGTGATTCTCAAGTCTAACTTTAATCCAGGCTGAAGGTTATAATAATAACTTCCCAGTGGAGGTTTTTCTTTAATTTTCTAAAATTCCAAATATATTTCCATTGACTTTGTAAGGCCAAACACATTCCTTTACACTTCTCACTTTATTATCATAAACTCACTTCACATGCACAAAGGCAGAGGGAGGGGTGGAGGAAGACCATACCCAAGGCTACCACAGTGCTCACTGCAAGTGAAGTTTTGATTCACTCAGGTACAACTATTTCCCCCGGCTTATGGCTATACACTGAAGTTAAAAGACCATTTGTAAAAGCTAGAATGGAAGAATCCAGAAACAGAATTCCATTTCAGTCAGCACTGAGCCTGGCACATGTGAGGAACCCATGTGTTTGCTTGGCAAAGGAAAGGAGATGGCAGAACACATTGGACAGAGGAGAGCCATGTGGAAATGTCATGCAGAAGCTGCCCTTCATTTTGAGGGTTGGAGTTAGGAGTGAAAGACGGAAGACATTAAGACCCATCATCAGAGATGTGGTAGAGGCTTGACAGCAGTCAGTGGTTGTGGAAATTGACTTTATCTGTTTCCTTTAAGTTTAAAATTCTGAAGTTTAGTTAAGATCCAGATGGGTACAAAGGATCAGTGAAAAACTGAAAAAGATAAAAATAAGGTTTCATTAAGAATGTATCTTAAAGCAACTTGGGATGACCCAAGATTGTCTCTCTCCGACATTTTGCATGGAATTTTCGGGAAACACCTGTTGGAAACATTACCACAATAAAGTAGTAACTAAACTTTGGCAGCCTCCAGTTCAGCAAAATAAGGGGTATTTAATTTCTTAAGCTCCACAAGTTGCATCTGGCATGTAGTTCAGCAGTAACTGACTAAAAATCCTGGAAAAAAACAGGCCTCGCGAAGGGGAGAATACTGAGTCTGTCATACCAGCTTCCAGTTATTCCCTCAAATTTTTCTTCCTCGAAAACTGGGCAAGCAAGGCACAGACAGAAGTTAAACACACCGCACCCAAAACAATGACGTCTCCCCCATTTTTAACTTTCTGATTGAGGACAAAAAGAGAGTAAAGGCGATACACACGCGCCCCGTGGTGCGATTACTCACCACCCACTGGCTGTGCGCGCCCGCGGAAGGCCCCACACGGGTGTAACTTCAGCAGCGAATGCCGAAATGTGTGACACCACCAACAACCGCCCCGGGAGCCCCCAAACCCGAATGTCTCATCATCCTGTTTCCTTTTGTAACTTCCCAGTACCCAGTAAGGTACACAAGTTTTGAACAAACGTCAGACCCACACTTCCCAAACAGTTTTTTTTTTTCAGCTGCTGCTGCCAAGTGCGTTCCCGCCGTCCAGGAAGAAGAAAACGGGCAGCGATTGGCAGACACCGCGAGAGTCTCCGCCGCCGTGGGCACCGCCAGGGAGGGCGACGTGGGACCAAGACCCAAGTTTCCCGGAGAGGATTGCAACACCTCCCTGCCAGCATGTGGCCAACCGCGATGGCGCATTTCCCGCGCCCCTGTGGGAAGGGCGTCGGGGACAGACACCTGAGCCTCCCCGGCAAGAAGCCTTTCCACTCTCCCCTCCGTCGCCTTCCAGCGCCCGGCTCGCCCCCGAAGCGGGTCCTTCGCTCCCCCAGATCCTAAGCCGGGACTCCCAAGCCCGGCCCACGTGTCTGCGCCTCGGCTCCATCCACCTCCACCCAAGCACAGTCCTGTCCCCCAGCCCCCCGCCGCTCTCCTCCTTTTTGCACCGTGGCACCCTCCCCACGACTGGAGGCGCGACCCTGCCGGCCTCGGGGGCCGAAGTCAGGACCCCAACACGCTGGCCCGGGCCCGGGAGGGACGCGCACCGGGCGAGAAGCGCCGGGCACCGCGCGCTCACCTGGCAGCGCCCGCAGGACCCGCGGAGCGCACCCGGCGGCGCTGGGGACCCCCAACTCCCCGGGGCGGGGGTGCTCCGCGCCCCCGCTCCCGTGGGGAATGCAAAGCGAGGGGCGCGCACGTGCTGGGCCCCGCTCGCCGGCGCCCCGACCCTCCCGGGACTGACTCACCGAGAACTTTTTTCTCCGCGTCTTCGCCGCCGGCGGGGGCCGAAGAGGCGGGGGCCGCGGTGCCCGGGGCGGCAGGGGCCGCGTCCCCCCCCGGGTTTCCGGCCGCCAGGGCGGGGGGCGCGGGGGCCGCGGCCTGGGGCGCGCCGCCGCCCGCCGGGCTCTTGGGCGCGGGGTCCTGGGGGGCCGCGGCGGCCGCCTCCGCGGGAGCCTGCGGGAGGGTGGTGGTGCTGGTGGTGCTGGTGGCCTCGCCCGCCTCGCTCATGCCGCCTGCTCCGCTCTCCCTCGGGCACCTCGGTGGCGGTTGGGCGGCGGTTAGCGCGGCTGGTGGTCGCGGCGCCGGGGCTCGCTCTCGGGGTGGCCGGTGCGGATCGCGCGGCGCAGGCGGCGCAGGCCGGGGTGGGGTCTCGCGGCCCGGGCGCTCGAGCTCTCGGGCTGCGCGCTGGCTCGGGGGCTCCTCGCTGGATCTTACTGCCCCAAAAATGGCCCCGCACAAGTTTTTCTAGGCGGCGCACCGGCCCGGGAGGGAAGGGCGAGGGAAGAGGGTGGGGAAAGTTGGCTCCCGACTTGGGCATCGGCTCATTAGCATTTAAAGGCGCCCGGTGCCCTTTCCAAGGCGCCCATCCGCGGACCCGCGCGCCCGCCGCGCTGCGGGACAAAGCCGAGCCCCGCCGGGCGGAGGTGGGCGAGGCGGCGCGTTTGCAGAAGGGCGGGAGCTGCTGCCCCGTGGGGGAGCGCAGCACCGGGCCTCGGCTCCTTCTCCACACCTGAACACCTGGAACCACCCTTTGGGGAGGTGGGGAGGACCGGCGGGCCAGTCGCCCTGCGCGCCACTCTCCCGAACACTTGTTTGGAAATCCTGGTGGGGGCCGTGCAGCACTTAGCAGGCACCAGGAGCTGCTTCTGATAAGGCAGTGGGGAACTGAAATAAGGAAATCTTAAGGTTAGTTGGCAACTGACTCCTGAAGGATATTTTCGGGATGATTTCATCTGTAACCCACGGGTGTGGAAGCTGAAGTCCGAAAGTCAGAGAATTGAAAGGCTCAGAGTTTACAGCAGTTTAATGGCAACCCCCAAGAGCCATGGGTATGCATTTAGGATCTCTCCTTACTAGGTGGTTCCCATGCTAACTTCTGCTCCAGTTGCCTCTGCCAGCTGGTGAGAGCTTAAGCAACTGAGTCCTCTTAGCCTCGGGGATGAAAGGTATAGAGCAACAGATCACCCAATAAATCTTCTCAGTTTGAGGAGATCCCACATGACCTGCAGAGAATGGACTGGATTATGCTAAACACATGGCCAGAGGGACTGTGTATTCCAGGAACCATGTGGAATAGAAGACTATTTAGTGTTCTTTACCTCTAGGATCCAGACAGACTTGGGTATAGACTGGCTGATCGTCGTTAAGGGAGTTGGGCTAGATAAGCAATGTTCCTGAGCTGGTTCTCTTCTTTATGAAAGTTTCTCAAAGGGGGTGTAGAAAGTCGATGAGATCAGCCTAGTTATTAACTCCAGTATCTGGTCCCAATAAAGTTTCTTTTTTTCATTCCCAGTTCCCCCAAACTATTTTCCTCTTTTTTCCCCCCTGTTCCCATGTTCTGGGCAGGCTGCCCCACATCAGGAGGGTAGCTATCAAGTGTAATTCATCATTGTGTCCCCACTTCTCAGCACCATATCAATAGAGCTAGAATAGTGAATGCATGCAAAATGGAAACAAACCAAAAGACCAAAAATTTCTGAACTCAGTTATTTAATATATTCATTGTCAACAATTAGGAAACTATCCTGATTTAATTTCTTACTCCATGCATAAAAATAAAAGTTAAAAAATTAAGTTCTTAGAAAATTAACATAATGTGGGTTTTTTTTTACTTTTCCATGTAATTCATCTGTATTTATAAAATTATAAACTCCTGAATATTAGATTCATATTAGTTTTCAACATGGAGCATATAAACTGTTTATATATCTATCTTTCTGTAGATAGATGCTTAAAATGCTGACCTAATTCTAAGCATGATTAAATGATTTCTTGATATTTTAAAGATTACAGTTTTAACTAAATTAAATTATAAGCATGATTTACTATGGTGAGGAGTAGTGATTAACTTTCTTATCACACAAAATGATTGTCATTGCTATTTACCATGCAGAATTGGATTGCAAGGGGAAAAAATGAGAGCTTGAACTCTCCAAACTCCTATTTAATATTCAAGTCCATATATATTCACCCCTGGAAAATAACTCATAACTAACAGGAGTGGTCTCCAACCTCTGGAAGACCCTAGAATAATTACAAATGCATCCTGGGATTGCCTAGAATTTGTGTTGGAATGGATCCCAAAACCACTCATCTATTTCACCCAAAAAAAGCAGTGAGCAGCTGGGAATTCTTGATAGTATGCTAAATAAGTGGAGAGACTTAAAACAAACGTGATCTCTGTTGTTTCAATTATCATAACTGGAGCGCAACCTGGATACAGATGCTCTCAAATGCTTCCTTCACTCGCTCGTTAATTCATGCACACACTCACTAGCACACATTGACTAAGCACATACTATGTGCCTGATGATGTGCTATGTTATGAGTATCCAGTGTTGATCAAAGTGGAACTTTTCATGTGATGTGAAATAATTTTTTCATTTTTTTCACTGTTATTTCTATTGTAAAAAAAAAGGTGTCATTTCTTAAATTTGAGATTAAGTGGAACAAAGAAAGAAAAAGAATCATAGTCTAATTGTTGACAGCAATCATTTTTAAGTAATGATGGGTTTGGTCATGAAAACAAAAGCCACTGTGTTCCTTGCATGAAGGCAGTTAGAGATTCTACAACTGTAGGAAGGTCTGAGGGAGAGAAGGTCACAAAGGCTCCACTGAGGATCTCAGAATCCAGTTCCAAATGTTGGTTCCCACAGCTGTTACAGGATCTCTGGGCTGCTCTTGACCAGTCAGGACTAGTACCAGGTTTTGTGAGCCTTCAAGCTTATAAAATTTAGGAAAAAATGTTGACACAAAATCACTAAAGCCACTCTGGTGTCTTAGAAAAAAAAGGGTCCATGCAAGAAAAAGCACCCTGAAGTTTAACTTCATAGACTTCAGTGGGTATGCACCTAGACCAGCTGCTATGATCAGCAACACAGACATGGCTGTTTTTCAAGTTTATCTGAATGCAGCTTTGAACTTCCTTCTATCCTTGCAGCTTCCTGTAACTGACTCTGGAAAACAGAGTTGCTCTACTTTCTAAATCTTGGGCTAGTGTCTCTTCTTGACAATTCCATCCTGAAAACAGACAGCGAAGGAGATTCTGGGAAATGTAGTCCCTGCCCTTGAAAAGGCTGAGGATGGTGCTGAGACTATCCTAATGAAGATAATGCAATGAATTGACTGAAAAGATGAGCATAAACCAATTGAGGAACTAGACCCAAAGGGTAGAAACTGATGTATTAACAGATCTGAAACTGGAAATCAATGAAGGGTTTATGCACACCAGTCTCATGCTAAAACAGTACAGAAGGGATGGGGTCAGTTTAGAGTAAAACACAGAGAAATAAGAGAGCAAACATTCTATAGCAGTGTTCAAGGGAGAAGACACCCTGATTGTGAGGCTGTTTGACATTCAATAGTAATGCATTCAACAAACTTATTTTTGCTTATTCCCATCAGGTGCAAATATATCATGTGAATCCAGACTGTAATGACTCCTGAATTCAATGAGCTTATAGGTTAGACCAGCACTGTTCAACTGGAATGTAATTCAAGCCCCAAATATGAACCAAAATATAAGCCAAAAATATGTGTATTTTTGAATTTTCCAGCAGCCACAACAAAAAAAAGTAAAATGAAAGAGATATAATACATCTGAATACATTTTACTTAACCCACATATACCTTCAACATTTAGTCAATATAAAAAGTATTCATGATATATATATATTACATTTTTTTTCTTTTGGTAATGTCTTCAAATTCTGGTATGTATTTTATTTTACCTTGTAGCACATCTCAAGTTAGACTTAGGATAAAGTGTCTAATATGACTGGCAACAACCATATTGAGTTGTACATGTCTTCTAGAAAACTGGAAATTTTGCTTGAATCATCCTCCAGATGTGGAAAAAAACATATATATGTGCGTGTGTGTGTGTATTTGATGAAGCAAACTTTATTGCTGTCTTACTTTTTAAGAAATTGCCACAGCCATCCCTACCTGCTTCAACCGCCATCTTGGTAAGTCAGCAGTCCACAAAATTGATTCAAGCCCTCCCGTTGTGAAAAAAATTTTGGCCCTGAAATCTGGACCATATATCCATCTGCGGTGACCCATCAATATAATGCTGCCTATAGGCTTGCTTGAGCTTCCTCATGATATGTAATACCTAAGAATTTACATGAATCAAAGACCTTCATTCTGAATAAATGTTTTTTGGTATCACTGAGAAGTTCTGGGGCATGTAAGTACATTTACATGATGCACCCTTTGACAACATTGCCTTAGTCAACATCCACTCTCTTCTTTAACTTTTTATATTTATATATATTGCCATACTAATGTGAAAATATACTGTGGGTTCACTGCTTTTCATTAAGAATAGGGTGATGGGTTGGGCCTCCCTGGTGGCACAGGGGTTAAAGTCTCAGCACTATCAAGCTATCACCAGCCTCTGCAGCATGAGTTCAACCCCCAGTTCACATGGGGAGCTAACCCACATGGCTCATCAAACCTCTTCTGTCTTACTTTCTGCTCCCCTCAGCAGTGTGTTTTCAGTAGATCTGCCTGTTCTGCTCCCCACATTGTCTCTGGTGAATCCTCTCACACCCAATGCCTCTGGCCTACACCCCAGTTCTTCTAAAAAAAAAAAATAGTGTGAGGGATTGTTTGCATTGTGACTTAGTCCACTTCTGTTGGAAACTAAATTTAGGATAGATAAAGATGCTGCCCCTCTGGATCTGAAATTATTGAAAGGGGAGAAGCAATTACAGAGATGTGAAAGAAGCAGTTTTAAAAAAAAACCCTGATTTTTCAGCATACATTCATTTTATGTAAAAACTACCACTTCTGAAAGACTTTTTATGCTTCTTTTGTTTCTAGTTTTTTTTCCCCTGAACTACTGAGCCACATTCTTAATATCTCTAGATGAGCAAGTTGGAACACTTTGGTTGAAAAATTTGAAAAGATGGTATGATAAATAAGAACTGGAAAAATTTTAGAAATTATCCATGTCAACCCCACTCATTTTCCAAATGAGAATTAGAGAGCGTAACCAACATTTTCAATCTAATTTTTCTATTTAATGGCAAAACTAGAA